GTAGCTGGCGTCGTCGTTCCTCCACTGGGCATTGTTGGCCCCGCGTCCACGGCCATTGCCATTGCCGCCGCGTCTTGGGCCCCGATTCTCGTCCTTCTGCTTGGTCCAGCACTTGTCAATCGTGTGCCCCAATTTCCCGCAGTACGTACACTGGCGAGACTCTCGGTCGGTGTTGAACGCCTTGGCCGCATTCTCCGTCTTCACCGTCGCCGTCTTCTCGCCTTGTCTCTTGATGTGCTCATTCGTCAGCACCTTCACGACGTCTTGCGATCGTAGTTCAGCGCTGCTCATCTCCAAGTTCAGCACGACGTTCTCGTAGCTCTTGGGGAGGCTGCGCAACAGGCAGATCGCCACGTCCTCATCCTCCATCTTGGCGCCGATGCTGCTGAGCTTGGCGCTGATGTTGAGGACCTCGTTGCAATGATGCAAGACGTTGCCGCCTTCCGACATCTCCATGCTGAAGAGTTGGCGCTTCAGGTAGATGCGTCCAGCCTTCTGCGAACCACCGTACAGCGTCTTCAGGCGCGTCCACGCAACCCACGCTTCCTCGCAGTCGTCGACCACATGGTGGTAGTCCGCGTCCATGTGGAGCAACATCAGTCCGAACGCGATGTTGCTCGACTTGACGTAGTCGTCCTTGGCCCGCGAGTCCGTGAAGCTCGGCGTCGTCTCGCGGTTCACGACATGCCACGTCGACTTGGTCAGGAACACGCCACGCATGTAGCGGTTCCACGTCGCGTAGTTGTCCCCGTTGAACTTGTCAATGGAGACCTTGGTCGAGGCGTCTTGGGCAGAGGACATGGTGCTTGGGCTCATAACCTGATGGAAGGTATGGATCTTGGACACGAAGCTCGGACGAAGCGGAGGGAGGGACGTCGCAGACGGCGGGACCGGAGCGAAGGCACTTGAGGGGTAGAATGAAGATTCGAAAGTGATTGAATTGTTGGAGCTTACACCCTACTGTTATAGACACGCGACCCTGCGTCCTATCACCTAGTGCATCTAATCAACCATCACTCACCGGTGTTCATCCAATCATCCTACTCGTCTAATCATCGGTGGCGTAAACAACTTACCGTAATCACCATAATCAACGTGGGTTCGGATTGGACCGGTTCGGGTTAACCGGTTAATGGGTACAACTGGTACACAGTACCCAAGACCAGTAATCCTCAATACTTGTTGATTACACGCATCGGCATTCCCTAGTTTTACCGGTCCTCCGCCTACAGCGTTGGATTCCTTGGCATATTCCAGAAGGATCGTTGTGGAGGATGATAAAACTATACTAGTATGGCAGCGTCCTCACGGCGATTGGACGCCTGGGTTGCTAAGGGGGCAACGCCACAAAATATTATTTGGAATATTTGCAGCACCCCCCCCATTGTGAGAGCTTTTGAATGGTAATTTGAGTGTAGAAAGACCGAAAGTATTGTGTGTTGAGGTACAGTACTTGGAAAACAGAAACATACATTTTTTTAGCGTTGTTTTTAAATTGTGATGATGGGGGGAAACTAAGTATTATGTAGATGAGTTAGTTATGCTTCGATCCTAGCATATCTGTCGTTTGGACAGTACTTATAACATGCTAGGTACCTGAGTGAGCAGTCGGTCGTGACACTACGTATTCTGGGTGTGAAATTTAGGATACGTAGTGCTATATGGTGCTTACAAGGGAACTATATACGCCGGGCGGTCATGGTCCATAAAAATGTTATTGTGGTTTCATTTATGCACTGATGTCTCTCATTGGACAAAAAGCCAACATCAGTGATTTGTATGGAAAAAACCTCAAACATGATTGGCTGTTTTTCAGGCGTTGGAAGATTCGATTGGTTATGGCGACATAAGACACGAATAAGCTCTCTTTCAGCTTTCTAGAGAGTATTTTTACGCTCAAATCTGATCATTTTTGATAACGCTGCAAATTTAAACCTAACACATCCAAAATTCGACCATTTAAACTGGCCGATACAGACCGCAATGGCGGGAAAACGCATTTAAAAAACAATCGGTGCGATACAGCAGACATAGGGCTTTACGTCAAGGCCAATTACAGCTGTGTTGGCGTAGTAGAACGTGAATTATGGTCGATTATATGAACTGTTAATTCTTTTCCGGACCGGAGAAGTACACCTTTATTTTGACCAATCAGAGATGCGAGAGAAAAGTCGGTGGGATCGCATGTAGAGAGATACACCCCTAATTTGGGTATTTTGCGCATTTTTGCATTCACATCGAGCCACCAGTTCCAAGCGCACGAAGGCAGAGGGGAAGAGCTTCGTACCGCTCGCCAACGTCGCGCTGCCCCCTCCCCGCGCGCTTGGAGGCATACGCCTCGTCGGAGTGATAGTTAGTAGCCACGCGTGATGTGGGACCAGTTGAGGCGCGCCTGAGTGCGGGATATGGGGAGCACGAGGTTAAACCACAACGCGCAAGATCGAGAGAGCGCACAACACGGCGGCTGCAGTGATGGTAGTAGAAGAAGCAACGCTGTAGATATTTGGTTAAGTGATATGGTTGCTGATCAACATAGTTGCAGACGGCCCCTAGACTTGTTGCTAGCTTAAGCGCCATCCTAGACGAGATCGCTCCGCACCGTCCGCATAACTCGGCCAACCGTCTTGCCCATTTTGCGTACGAAATGATCGCATGACCCATTTTTTGGGTTTTACATTGCTTTTAGGCTCGAGTGCAGTAATTAACCTAAACCTATGACATGGGTGTGTTTCTCTACATGCGCAATGCGGTACTTAAAAATAATACCCATGCTACTGCTCTTGCCAACAAAACTTTAATTAAGTCAAAGACAACTAAACACTATAACATCTTGATAGTGTGGTGGAGCAGGTTCCTTGAAAACCGTTCTGCGGTCTTCTCAGCGTTATCTCGCACTTACAAACGCAACGTCACGTCCTTGATGTGTAGTCGTCGCGTAATTCCCCGGGGCTTCGCTAACGTAATTCCGAGGACGGTTTGCACTGGTTGTTGTCAGGGACAATCACGTCACTGAGGTCTTTTTGTTCGTTGGTAGCAGGCGCAGGGGTGGTCTTCTCACGCCGCCTCGTAGTCTAGTTGTTCCTTCCTCCGGTCTCTGCGTGACCCTTTCGTTTGCTCCGCAGTCTCCGTACGCTCTTCGTGTTCTCAGCAGCACGTCCTTGTCCCGGTCGTGCGTTCTCCTCTCAACCGCGTTCTCGTTCTTGACAGCGCGTCCTCGTCTAGGTTGCGCGTTCTTCTCTTAATCGCGTTCTCGTTCTTGACAGCGTGTTCTCGTCTGGACCGCACGCCTTCTTCTAGACCGCGTTCTCGCTCTTGATCGCGCCTTGGCTCTTTTGCTTGCCGTGGTGCTTCTCCTCTCCGTCAGCGACTCGGCCCTGTAGCTTGCTCTGCCCTGACGTGACTAATTTCTAGCGCCTTCCTGTCAGACACTGATTGGTGGGTTGAGTGCACACAGCCGACACAATGTAGCGCCCCGCACGCGTCTAGGCCGAGGTCGATTCTTCTACACGCGAGGGGTTGGACTCGAACGCAGGCGGCCATAAGAAGCGTGTATTACTCCTAGCCTGATGTGCTGGCGTGTTTGAGTGTAAATTGCGGACTGAGCTATCCTACCTTCCTTCCTTGTTTCCTGTCTACTTACTCACGACTGGCTTCTTCCAACTTCTCCGGGTGCCCCACGTCATCCATCTTGGGCGTCTTGGCGCGCAGCCGGCATCCGCACATCCGGGGATTGGTACACTTGATACGTAAAGTCAAGACGATTACCGGGCTCGAACCGGTACGATTTTGGTACAACTGGTACCAAACGGGTCGGGCCATAATCATGACATGCGTAACATCATCGGCGCCGTGCCCCACTTCATCACGACATACTCTTAGTACATGTGAGCGCTGACAGCCACAGCTCCGTAATGTCCTCGATCCACTACACCACAATAGCGATGACGTTATCCCATTAAAATAAGGACAAATAAGATTTACGGTACGAAAGGCCACCGGATTGCATGAAATCCCGACGAGAGAAGCTGCCCTGCCCCACTCAACTTTGGAGACGTCAGCTATGAGAATAAATGGGGGGTTAAAGGCAGTCTACTTGAGGCTTATTTTTGTCCTATAGTTGCCTGATATGCAAGAAGCCGTGACTGGATAGAATCCGTCGGCTGTCTGGAAGAGTTCGTGGGGCGGGGCTGATTGCGGCGGGGCTGTCGTAGCTTTAGCGTCAGAGGAAGACGTAACAGACTTACAGAGTCTCAGCTTAAGATAGCTCGTTCTACTACCAGAACGTACGAGTCCGTACACCTTACGGACTCCAAGAGTCAACTCTTAACTCTTAGGTGTGTAAATCTCAAACTGAATGTATTTCCCTTTAGTGCGGCCAAGCCGCCTACGGTGTAAATGTATCCGGTTCACTATCTAGCAAAGTGAACCCTAGTCATATGCATAATCAGTGGCTCTGAAGCCATGTACTGATTATCCTACTGATTTAGGTTAGACAGTGTGTACCCACTTCATAACCCTTCGGGTAACTCTCGTGTAACCCCGTTACACCCTCCCCCATCAAACCGTGGACACGGGTGTTCACGCTTAACAGTCAACCACCGGGTCTTGTTCCGTCAAGCCTCCTTCTCGAACGAGTCAATCCACATCGCGTGGACTTCTCTGAGAACTTCTCGGCGCAACGCCCCTCACATGACTTCAAGTCATAAAGCCTTTTCGTCTTTCGACCGCAGACAGCCTCTCGCGAGATCCACCTCGGAGCCTCGCTCCTCTCGTGCTGCTGCACTGCGTGCCTATGCACCTTGGCGAACGCCAGCGCCCGCGCACACACTCCAGGCTCTCAGTGTCCGAGTACTTCGCGGCGCACCGCCTGAAGCACCGATGGCAGCGCGCAAGCCCCAGCTCTCCTCGAGCACCAACCCGTCCGATCATGGATCCTAGGGAACTCTTCGGCGAAGAGGGCGGGGTGGACTAGTACATGGAGGATTCTCCGAACCAAGGAGATGGGTATCCACCCACGCGACGCTCCCCGAGCCGCGGCGACGCTTCAAACACACCGTCGACGCGCCGTGAAGAGGGCTCGCCGGCTCCAGTTAACTCTCCGAGTCATCGCGATCAAGAGCGCCCTGCGCGCACATCTCCTGCGCGCGCTCCGAGACGTCTCACCACTTCGCGCGCTGCGCCACCGAGGGAGGAGCCGCGGTAGCCGCTGCGGACTCCCAATCCGTTTCCCCAGCGCTCCTTCGGGCTCTCAGAGCTGCGCGAGCTCACTGAGCCACGGTACTCGTCGCTCCGTGCGGAAGACGTGCCCCTGGGCCCCGTCATCTCCAACCCTTTGGACGAAGCTCAGTCCGAGGAGGTTGCGGCGCAGATGGCTCCCATGCGCTCCCATGCGCTCCCAGCGCCCAGAGCGGCGGCCTCTGCTGAACCCCAGCACTGCCGACTACGGCTTCCGGCCTCGCGACCCCGCGGAGGCTTGTCGCCAGGCGTTCCAGCAGTCTCTCGCGCTGCACGCCATTGGGCCCGCAGCCCGTACTCCGGAGGAGCTCGCACTGCGTACGTCTCTGCGAGAGCGACTCCTCACTCCACAGTCTACGACTGTCGCGGAGTATCGCGAGAGGTTGCGGCTGCAAGCCCAGCAGAAGTCCGTGCCCGCCATGCGGACGTACCCGATGGTACTTCGCCCGGGGGAAGACTCAATTGAGTACGAAGCTCAGTTCGAGTCTTGGGCCGAGCACAGCCGGAAGCTCAGCTCCATGGATGCTCTCCGAGCAAGT